GATTGCGAGAGCTCGTTTTGATGAATGATGGGAGAAACATATCTTTAGTGCAAATGTATTATCATTAATTTAGATGTTACAAATCTTTTAATGTACACACTGATCGTTGTTGCTTTCATCCATGTGTATCGTTTTGCGTATTGCAGAAAAAGCAGGTGACCAAGGGTGGGAAAAGGAAAAAGCAGGTCCTCAAGTTCACCCTGGACTGCACTCATCCTGTGGAGGATGGCATCATGGATGCTGCTAACTTTGTAAGTATAAACTGATCGTCTGATGCAGAGTGCACACAAAACTGGAAAACTCCATTCAGATTACCTGACTGAAAAGCCAATTTTGGTTGTTTTTCCAAAACTGCACACATGCAAAACTGTATTTTCTGCTTGCTTTAATATGTGAGTCTAATAGTTTTCTGCAGTCTTGTATGCACATTTCAGATTACAAAAAATAGTGTACATATCACTGTTTTTTACCTGCGTTCTTTCTGGGAAACTGCAGTGCCATATTTTGAGTTTTATTGTGCTGGTCTATCATTGATATTCATTTCAGATAGACCTACTCCTGAATGGCACACTGGAACAAAACTAACATTGTTTGGTCGTTTGTCAGTTTCTTTCAGTCTGTTTATGGCCAGAATAAGTTGCAGAGTGGACTTAATGTCCATAATTGTCTAGGGCTGCACGATTAATCGAATGCGATTGTCATGTGCATTTTGATAGTAATGCCGGTTCTGTAATCAACAGGAAATCATCATCACGTGCTTTCAGATGGAGCAGAATTTACTACACATAGCCGTAGGTCACTGACAAGTTACTAGGGCTGCACGATAAATCGCATGCGATATTTAACGCGCATCTTGTCAGTAAAGCTGGTTCTTTAATCAGCGGTAAATCTCCATCACCTGCGGGCTTTCACGTGGAGCAGCATTAACTACACAGAGCCGTTGTTCACTGACAAGCTGCGCAAAGCGATTCTGAAATCGAAGAAATTGTTCGCGATAATGACAGCTTGTTTGCATAGCTTCTCGGTGAACTATGGCTCTGTGAAGTAAATGCTGCTCCATCTGAAAGCATGTGAAAATACCACATTTAATAACATATTTTTACTCCAAACTCACTTCATCACGTCAGTCGAGTGTTTGAAATAAATCCTTCTGTGAGATGTGGCTTCTTACACAGAATAAGGCACGCAACATATTTCATTGTATTTAAGCAGTGATAAAGGCATTGCATTATAAATATACTTTATTTTAATGAAAATTATAATAATAGGAACTCCGATAAACCGTATATTGCCGTAGTCGTGTGTTTATTAGTCACGTTGAATCAATGAAAGCAGTTGAATCTTCTGTTTATTCAGCTGCAGTGATAGGCATTTTCTGGGTTTCTTCTGCAAGGCATATTTGGAGTTTCAGCGCGAGAGCGCCCTCTGGCCTTTGGATGGAGATTTACTGCTGATCACAGAACTGTGCTTCACTGAAAGATACGCATGACAATCGCAGCTTCTGTCGAATCGCGATCTCGATTCCATTTTGATTTATCGTGCAGCCCTATAATTGTCTAGTCTGATTTTTTTTTTTGTGTGTGATCAACCAATAATAATAATAATGTCTTATTTTCAAATAACTGCTAAAAGTACAGTAACTGTTAAGTGTATCACAGCTGCACAAGGGTCTGGATGGTTAATGGCTTTGCAGTTATATTTCTATATGATCTGATGGGCATGTCTGCATGTGTCTCTATGCAGGAACAGTTCCTTCAGGAGCGCATCAAAGTAAATGGTAAATCTGGCAACTTAGGTGGTGGCGTGGTCTCCATTGAAAGGAGCAAGAGCAAAATCACAGTGACATCTGAGGTCCCTTTCTCTAAGAGGTAAGTCTGAGATTAGAGATCCAAATTCTTGTGAAGGGCTGCTAACTATTATTTTATTGCTGTTATTTCACTGTGACTATAATATTGAACATTTAGTTGTTAAATTAAAATGTGATTTAAAAGTAGTCATTAAGATAATGGAACTGAGAAATTTAGCACATGCGTTACCAAACAGCAAAACACAACATTGTGCACTTTATACGGTTTATTGCCATTATCATTATTTCCAATGCAGTTTTGTTTTGAGATCTTATTTTTCTCAACAATTTGTTTTTAGTGCCATTCCCAGTATTTCCTTGGATCGCATGTTAGCTGTTGATTCACTGCTGTATTGTAATGTTGTAAGACGTTTAATCATTTGAATTTAAGGTGAATTGAAAGGTGCAAAAAGTACTTTAAGAGTTTATGCCTAAAGAAATTGTCTGCCATGTTGATGTAAGTTTAAGTAGTCTAAATATAGTCGGCAAAATCGAACAGATTTGTCAATTAACTTTATTTTGTTTCCTCTCTATAAATCAGTCGTGTACATTCACACGATCAGAACATTGGTGATTCATATGTGTTTGTGCCTCGGTGCAGGGTTTCCAAGACCTGTGCGTGTCGTCATTGTGGCTAACAGCCCACACATTTTACAGATTGAAAGTGTGCAGTATTGTACTGCCAGTTTAGTCATTGATTTGAGGTGTTTTAGATTCATCCTTAATTTCTTTAATGATAAACTGAAGCGCACGTGCATCTTGTGATCAGACGTTTATTTTTGTTTAGGTACTGTCAAAATTGTTTTTTATTTTGTATTATATGAGTAAAATCTTTCATTTCATTTGATGCTGAATTCCTTCCTGCTTCCTGGAACAGACTGTAGTATTAAACACACAGAAAGCAGCCCATCGTGTGGCTTTCAGTTTCATGTTAGCTTTATTGTTAGTGTGTTGGATATAGCAAATCATTTTGAAAGTTGATGTGGTGTTTGTTTGGCCTATAAATGTTTTTGTATTTATCTAATTCGTCTACTGAAGATGTGACTTAATTGTTGAAAAGGTGGAATTATTACACATTACTGTGATCTTTGTGTAATGACTTACTCCACTTTTGATGTGAAGTTTCATGCAAGACTTTTAAGAGGCATTACCTATTCAAGTAGCTGTTGTTGGTTTTGTAATATTGCATTAACTCTATTCAGAAAGGGTTGTGGCATGTCATCGACATCTTGTCCTTGTTGAATATTTGTCTGAGACGCCAGATTGATGAGAAGGGCCTTAGAAGCTGTTAGGAGAACCACTACCACTAATTTTACACCTTATAATTTGAGACTTTATGTACCCTTGAATTAAGATATTTTTGATAACTATAATGATTGTTCCACAAGGCAGAATTTAAGGGTCTTTTGTTTTACCCAGTAAGCCAAATTGTGTGAATACAAAGCAGTTACATATAAAACCTATATATATATATTTTTAAAGGGTTTTAGTACTACAAAATTTAAACCTTTTATATGTAGCATTCCCATTCCATTTCATAGCTTTTGTATTTGCACCCAGTAGTCTCAGATATGGTTACAATGTTAATGACTATATTACCATCTCATTTGAAACTCGGTGTCATGTCAATTGCAACAGTATGTTATGAGGCAAACTTAAGTGTTTGTTGTTTTCAGGTACCTGAAGTATCTTACCAAGAAGTACCTCAAGAAAAACAACCTGCGTGACTGGCTGCGTGTAGTAGCGAACACCAAGGAGAGCTATGAACTGCGCTACTTCCAGATCAACCAGGATGAGGAGGAGGAGGACGATGAAGATTAAATCCATGCCACTCTTTTGTAAATTCAATACAATTTCAAAAGAAATCAGTTTCCTTGTTTCTGGTGTGTTCATTTCAGTATGTTCGAAACATCGTCTTTTACTGTGAGGAAAAGGGAAAGATAAATCCATTTGATTCATAATTGTGCAATTTCTTTCTGTTAGAGCAACCGAAGTCTTTGTCTTTTTTTTTAACTGCGCTAAAGCATATAGGATTCATCTATCACCAGTCAGACAGGACCAATAATTTCCATAGCAACAAAGTTTGTGCACTCACAGGGTTCAGAGAGTTAATTTAATCGGTGATATGCTGCTGGAGCATCTAAAACCAGCCTTAAATGGTTGCTGGATTTAGCTAGTCTCCTAGTGCTCAACTGTTTGGGCCAGCTGAATGTCTCCAGAACCATACATGACTAGACCGTGAGACCAGCAAACCTGCTTTGGTTGGTTTATGAGTACTGGAGATTATTTTAAATGTCTTTGGTTTGATCACGTAGAGCGTCTCGCTGTCGTATCCTTGGCAACGGCTCGTGATTCGCGGGTTGACCTGAAGCAGGTTTACGAGAAAGAATTAGATTGGATTTTTTTTAATGAGAGATTAAATTAATCTCCAGCAGAAAAGTTTCCAGCGCTATACCCAATTTTTAAAGGAACAGGTATTTCGTTTAAATAACAGAAACCTGACCTCGTTTGTAAGGCTTTAGTTCACCCAAAATGAGGCAGAATGCCCGTCACCATTTACTTTGTGTATATCAAGATGAAATAAAAGTGAACACTGCTTTTTCTTCCGTGGGACACACGCCACAGGTTTGAAACTACGTGAGGGTGAGTAAATGACAATTTTTTAAAAAAGTGAACAGTCCCTTTAAAACATCTCTAAACCAAGTCGTCAAAGATGTATGTTCAGCCGTGACCTCGGATATATAATTTGTCCGACCTAAATTTGTAAAAGAATAAGAAAAGTTGGACAAAAAAAATCATTTTTCCTGCTCCTATTATGCGCTTCCCTCGTCTGACAGAAAGGGACTGTGAGGGAACTTTCTCCCGTATGTCTCACTGTATAACCTCACATTCCTCGAACTTCAGCGGGAAAAGGGCAATGCCACCGCGAGACCGCCGCAAACTCTCACTACTAGTTAAGCCGGTGACCAGGCGAAGAGCAGTAACTAGTTGTGTCGGGAAACTATGGGATGGATTGCCATGGCAACCGCCCAGACGTCACAATCTGGGCATGTGTGTTCCATTTTTGTCTTTCTTATTTTCAGACTGGAGGATTTGGATAGAGAAGAGGGAGAAAGGGTTTTTTTTTTAGACAGGGTAGCCATCTTTTATTTTATTGAGAGCATATTAAAATAAAATTAGCCTCACCTTCAGTGGACGTTTCCTCTGAAGCTGAAAATCTGGGCATTCAGAGGGTTAAGTTTCTGGACTTTATTCCTGCATCTCGAATGTGATTTTCTTGTTATGCGGTAAAGATGCCCGGATCGCTAAGCAATGAAGATGAGGGGCAAGACGATATGGATTTTGAGGACGACGTGCCAGGTGAGGGGGTAAAGAGTCACAGGGGAGGGAGAGTTCTGCCCTTCACAACTGCGCTGCTACGCCTAGTTGAATGCGGAGGAAAAGGGGCTTGACGCGCGTGCGATTTATTATAGTCTCAGTAGCTTCTGTTCTCAGACTCACACCGGACACTGTTCGTCCAAAAATAACGGCGCACTGTCCGACTGTATTTGAGTCACTAAAGCGCGACTAAAGAGCAGACCGTCTTTCTGCGATTCGCTTTGAGATAAAATCGTTCTCTGTTCATATTCCATCATCCGGTTGGCGCATTTTTTCTTTGCAAATAAATGAGCTATGCATGCACCCACTGTCTTTTTTTCCAGTCGGGGTGCTCTGATATTGCACCCACTGTGCATAATGATTTCTAAACCTGATGGACTGTTTTAATATAAAGTCTGGTGCATGGCAATACTGCAGTCTCTTTGTAAAAATAGTATGTATGGGATTTATGCATGGTTTAGAACTGATCTAAACAAATAATCAGTTTCCCAAAAAGGTGTTATGGCATTTCTCTGAGGGATATTAAAGAGCTGATGGTTATAGTGCAACTCTGTGGTCACAGTGTCTTGTAAAAGTAGTGTATGTGCTTGATAGAGCCACGTGTGACAGGAAAACATCAGCTACAATGATCCACTGCCTCTGTGGTCTGTTTGAGGGGCACACACTTTAGCCAAGACAGCCTCCATAGTATCTTAAAAAAAAAAAAAAAGGTTTGTTAAACTTACCGTAAAAACTGACTGTCAGAACTTAACTATAAAAATTACAGTCATGATGTTATAGGTTTTGTGATTTTATATTTTAGGCTTCCTAACTGTAACTAATTGTGTCATTATAGTGTTAACATACAAACTTTTATTTATTAATTTATTATTATACAAATTTATTATTAATCTGTTTGGTGCTGTAAAATGTACTGAAATTGATACAGATGATCAAAATTGTCTTCTTCAATCTGTGGATTTAATTTATAAAACGATTAAAAGACAATAAAGACCTTTTACTTAAAATGTCAATTCAACCATATTTACGGTTATAGTAGCCTTAAAAATGTATTTGTAAATGATGAGAGATTTAGTAAATTTTACTTTATAAGTTATTTTTTAATAATTTATAATGTGATTTTATTTATTTATTTTGTGTGTGGTTGTACCGCAGATTAGCAGGTTTACAATTTTAACATTTGTTTTCTGTTACAGTCAAATTTTTCCTGTGTTGGCTAAAAGAGGGGCCTTTGTGTATTTTAAATGAATGTATGAAACTCTTATTTTGTGCAACAGCTGCTTTACAGAAAATATTTGTTGAAAAGTGACACTTTATGTTGATGCTTGATATATCTTTCTCAGGCAATATGAACACAATTATTATGCTTAATCGCTGCTGGTGACTACTGTATCCTTATGATTTCACTCTGTTTACGCTTCCTGTGTTGGTGAAGGGGCGTGCATCTAATTTTCCCCTTAAAGACTCATCAGTCTTTTTTTTTTTTTTTTATATGACAGATTAGTCTCAAAAGCCATTGGCTGTGAGAGCAGGGTTCTCAGTGGTGTAATGGAGAAGCCGTGTAGTTAAGACTTCGTTCTGCCTGCATGCCTTTTATACATTCACGGCCCTCAATTCAATAAAATCAATACATTGATGGTTTCTTGCTGGTCTAGGCTGCCTCTGAATTAGCCGTGAATTAATCACGTGACCGACCTGAGCACGAGTATCTCATTTGCACCCCAGTTGCGTATTTTACCTTCTTTTTTTCTACGAGGCGGTTACGTGGTTGATATGAATGCTGCTGAGGGCTGCAAACGGTTTGAAATAATGTGCAATATGCAGAAGAATTAATAATTGAGAAATACTTCATGAGCCAGCGTGCTCTTTCCGTTTAGACAGTAAGCCCCCGCATGTGCTAAAAATGAGAAATCTATGCAGTGCAGGACTGGCCAGGATTTTGGGTTGCTATTTAGTCCCATTCACTGATTGCTTTCAGTGTAGGCAAGAACACCTTCACTGATTCCTTTACTGAAATTATAATGAGGTGGTTGATGAATGTTTTGGTGAGATTAATAAATAGCCAATTTTTAACATGTGAAATGAGCTATTAAGTTATTTAATTGCGAACCACATCGTAATAATTTCCATACAATCAATCCAGTTAATCTCTAGCTTCTTTGCTAAGAACGATAAAGCATATCTTTAATTAATTATTGTGAATCTAACATGCATAAGTAAAGTAATAGGATGTATTTTGAAAATGCAGTTTGTATTGTAGGCCAGCGAAGTGAGATTTGCAATCAGGACGGTTCACTGCCGTATCCAAACACTGCAGAACACATGACTGCTCCCCCAGCCAGGAGCAATGAAGTGAGCATGCTCTAACCACAGATATAAACAGACAAACAGATGATTTATAAAAATGCTAAGAGAATGAAACATGATAAAGAATTCAATGGCGAGCTCGATGATTGCATGGTTTTTAATGTTATTTCACCTCCATCAGATTTGGTTAATGGATGTGCATCGCTTCTGTTAAGATATGCACATTTTAATCAGTTAGTTTAGAATTTTTGCAACTTGAGTCCACATTCCTTGTGTGCCACATCAGGAACAAAGGATGGAGTGGTTCCAGAAAGATGCCAGATTGATTTTCTCCAGAGTTCCAAATATTTGCAATCTCAAAATTTATAGCAGATTCAATGGATAGTTTACCCATAAATTAAATGCTGTAATTTACTCAATCTCACATCGTTCGAAACCTGTACAACTTTATCTGTCTGTGGATCACAAAAAAAAAATATTTTGAAAAATATTTTTGCCCATGGAATGAAAATGTTGTTTTGGACCTCATTGACGAACTATATTGACAAAAGTCTTCAAAATATTTTTCAAAATGTTGTGTCTGCAGAAGACAGTAAGTTATTCAGGCTTTATCTGTCTGTGGATTACAAAAAAAATATATTTTGAAAAATATTTTTGCCCATGGAATGAAAATGTTGTTTTGGACCTCATTGACTTGAACTATATTGACAAAAGTCTTCAAAATATTTTTCAAAATGTTGTGTCTGCAGAAGACAGTAAGTTATTCAGGTTCTGAACGATGTAAGGGTGAGTAAATAATGACAGAATTTTTTGGGTGGACTGTCCTATTTAAAAAAAAAAAATCATTGTCATAAAGAAAAAGGTTTTATATGTTCTGCCCCATTCTTGTTAGTGCTGTTTCATTTGTCTGTCATACCCCAACAATGCTTGTGAGAGTTTCTGTTTATGTTGATCCTCATTAGGAATAGGATGCATTAGGGTGAAGCTGATCCAAAGTCATTTGAGTGCTTTTTGCCCCCTTCTTTATTTCCTCCATTCGAAGTCTGGTTTTCTTTTACATAGTCATAATCTTTGAAATTGAAAGATTATCATGAGCTGCTCATAGCTCTGTTTGGTGGGGGCTATTTTTGGAAGCTGCACTGTGAAAACTGACACTCCTTTCTCTTTGCTAGAGTTTGTGCATGCATGTAAATCATTGTTGCATCACGCACTTATGTCTATGTGTCTGCATCAGACTCCACAGTGTGCCACATCTTGCAAATTTTACCAACAAATTACTGCAGTGTAGAATATGCGTGCTGGAATAAAATAATTATAGCATCTAAACTCAATTGCAGTGGCTTTGTTCTTGTTTTATAGGTTATTAGGACATTAATTTTAGACTACTTTGCTTGTGTACTTGCAAATTTTGCCACTATATCGCTTTGCAAAGCAGAGCAAAGGTTTGTGAATGAGCCTTGGGACTTAGAGAATGGATATAGTCTTCAGAAAGTAAAGATACGGCCTATAAAACTTGAAGGTCTCAATGAGGGGGAGTTCCAACCATGCTGTCTCATCACATTAACGGTGGGGGCACTATTAACATACACAGTCTGTCAGACAGCTAATGCGTTTTCCTGTAAATGTTCCTCTTCTTAACAGCGAGACCGGCCGTGAATCCCATCTCTAATGGAGTGCGGCACTGACCCAGCCCTTGTTGCAAGGTCAAAGTTACCCCAATGTCCATGCTTAGCTGACACACAAATGTGTGGCTGCAGTCGTGACATTTTCAGCCCCGCTACCAGCAGCGAATGGCAACAGCACAGCTTTTAAACACCTGGCGGTTCCTGGCCGAGGCTCTGTTTGCTTGGGAACATGGCACAAAACGTGACTGTCCGGGATGCAAAAATAGAGCTACAGTTTTGGGGAAATCAGGCTACAGATGATTGATTATTCATTATTTTCTTAGCATATTAAATTGGAATTGGATAAAGTGTCTTCACATTGAAAAAATATACACTTCAGCTTAGTATGCATATATTGAATACAAATATGAATTTTCACCAGAGTGCAACAGAATTATACCTTATTTATATGTACCTTGCATTATGTACCTTAACACTGAAAAAGATATGCACTTCAACCCCTCAGTATTCATATAGTGAATAAAAATATGATTTTTCACAATGACATAATCCAAAATGCTTAAAAGTAAGTTGACAATGTAAAACCTCGCTTTTTTCGATATCCTCACTTCAAGAGTGCTCTGTTGCATCACCACGACTGTAAGTGAGATATGAATGAAGACGAGATGTGTGCTTGATGCGCCTGGCAGGCAGCAGACATATTCTGCCGACATGAAAGAGCCTCCCTGTGAGATGCATTGCAGACGCACTGCCCTAAATATCCGTCATCTCGCAGGCAACTGCTCTGTTTATGTGCGGCAGAAGATTGAAATAAGAAAAAACCTCCCAGCGGCTGAAAGAGAGATGGGAAGCTTTGTATTTTACATGAGTAAATACCCAAAATGCCCTATAGGGCTGCAAGCAAGGCTTGAACCGTGCAGGGGCTGCTCTCACCGGAGCTGAAGTCCTCAAACAGTGGCAGCTAAATGAAGGTTAAGTGGATTTCGAGGATAGCATCCAAGAGGCTGGGAAAGCCCCTCATCCGGCAGCTCCCACGAGGCGTGGTGGGCTGCGGGACAGGGCCTTAGCTGATTGACTCCACCACACGCAATGCATATTTCATGGCCCACCGTCTGAGCTGACGATAGACAGGCGGCAGGAGTTCCGGTTCCAGACGATGCCTTCCTGATGTCTTTTTTTTTCTTCTTTTTGACAGCATGGCATCATTGAAGTGTTACAGTGAATATGTGCTGCCAGACAGTAGTTTTTTGTTTACAGTGAGAGGTTCACAGTTCAGTAGGTGGCAGAGACCTCACCTCTCTCCTTTCACTCCCCTTTCAGAAAATCTTTGCTTTTACTCTAATGGAGTGAAGGAGCCTCCACTACGCAGGCAAACCCTTCACAGACAGACAGACAGACAGACAGACAGACAGACAGACAGACAGACAGACAGACAGATAGAAAGATAGATAGATAGATAGATAGATAGATAGATAGATAGATCATACGAAATCATAAAATAGTTACGTTTTCTCATGAGAATGGGTTGTATAGATCGACAGATAGAGAAAACATAATGGATAGATCGACAGAGATTAAACAACAGGATGGATGGATGAATATATGGATAAATAGATGGGGGTGATGCGATGTATGCATGAATCTCATAAGTGTGAACCTCTTGTGTTTTTTCTCAGATGAGGATGAGGAAGGTGAACGTCAGAGGAGTGTCCCCCTGTCACCCTTAGAGAGATTTTTCTCTGAGGATGATTCGGTTAAACAGCATAAGAAGAAGAAACCCAGCAAGATAATGGAGGGAAAGGAGCCCAAAGTTAAGAAAAAGAAGAAAAAGGAGGTAACCTTTTAAATGTTATCTAACTGATTGAAGCATGGATGAAACAGATGTTGTTATGACATCATCAGAATGCAAGTTATTTTCATGTTGTTAGGCTAAATCAGCATTTCTTGTATTTATAGCATCCTAGTTGTTTTGGTTTTTGAGTGTCATGATCAGTTACTGTAAATGTGTCACCTGTGAGGTAACCACATTTATGATGTGAAAACCTGGGCAGGTCAAGTTCAAATAGTTCAGAATGGTCTAAAGTTCAGTCAGATACTACTTGTTTGCTCAACTTATCATGGCTGAAACTTACGATGTTGTACAACTGTCCATACATTGGGGTCCAAAACAACACTGAACCCCATTGATTTTCATTGTATGAATAAAAAAACTTATGTTTTATAATATCTTCTTTTGTGTTCCACAGAAGACAGACACCAAAAATGGGGACTGTCCTATTAAAAACAATTTCATGGCTCCCTCCCAGAAAAGTTAGGCTGACATTAGACCATCCATACAACAAGTAGCGCCCTGATCTGCGTTCAGCCTACATCACATCACAGCACTCATAAGAAAGGCCAGGTTGAATGATCAGTATGAAACAACTTGCCTGACCTCGGGGTATTTTGTCGTATTTTTTACCGATCAGCCTTTTTCTAGTCAGCTCTCTCTCTGCGCCTTGGCGAGAGATAAAACATTTACCAGGTCAGTCGGTCACAGTCCCCCCAGCTGACTGTATTTGCCTTTGAGATAATGAGAGGGATTCCTCTTTTTCTCCTCCCTAGCCCTCCCTCGCTTTATCTGCCTCCTTGGACAGATTCAGTCTTTCTCTCAACCCTCCCTTCTTCTCAGCAGTGGTAAATGTGCCGTGGAGAGGGCAGAGAGGTCTCCCCTCAGCAGCTAAGAGCCCTGCTTGGCGTCAGTCATGCTCTCTCTGCAGTGCCGTGTCAGACACGGGCTCAAATCAATGCAGGTCAAAACCGCCGCCTGCCCTTCTGCTGTCCGCAAGTCTAACAGCTCAGCTTGCCAAAGCCGGCCACCTGCGCCGGAGCCTGATAGACTGTGGAGAGTCTAGGGATTGTAACGGGAGAGTGAGAATTGATGCTTTGTCAGATGTAAACAATGATAAGTGACATTTCATTTGTACCGATGAGCATTTTTGTTGAAGATGAGGATGTTTTTGGGGAAAAAGATCCCAAAGATGTCTGACACTATAATGCAGTTCTTTTTCCACAGAAAATGCAGTATTTAAAGGCATACTTTCATAATTTTCTTACTCTCATGTCGTTCCAAACCCAAATGACCAACTTTCTTCTGCGGCAGAGTGTTCACACTGCTTTTTTTCTCCATACTCCATACTACAAAAAAGTGAATAAGTTAACTGGGGCTGTCAAGCTCCAAAAAGGACACAAAAGTAGCATAGATATACACTGCAAAAATTGTCTTAAAAGTTTATAAAATTGTAGTATTAGAATTATTGTGTTGTTTTCTAGACAAAAATATTGAAATGTCAGTCAAAAGATATTAAAATGTTAATAGCAGAAGCATAAACCTAAATACATTTGGTTAGTTTTATGTTTAGAAGAAAAAAGGTAAAATTTTAAAATAAGTTATGTTAAATTAACAATAGAAATACTTCTAAAGCATTTATTAATCATAGTTACAAATGCATTGTTAGTTAATGCATTAACAAACAATAACTAATGAGATCTTATTTAAAAAAAGGCATGAAGAAAAGCTTAATTTAAGATATTTTCTCTGAAAACATATTGTCTAATATGATATTACTTATTACTATGATATTACTTATAATAGGATATGACTCTGAAAATATGTTGTTTTATGTTTAGATATTTTTACAGGAAAATAATACAGATTAATTAATAAACAATTTTTATTTTATTCATTTAACTCATTTGCTATTTTCCAACTTGTAAAGCAATACAATAACTAAGCGTGTGGAAAAGCTTGAAATTTTAATAACTTGTTGAAAGTCTTCCCATCCACCATAGGTCACAAAACTAATTTGCATTCAGTTTGATTTAACATTTAAATGTGTTGTGAATAGTCACAAGACAAAATAACCAATTATAGCTTATTTCTGAAAAATCGATAATCTGCTTGAAATTTCTTTTTCATGTTCCACAGAAGAAACTCAAACAGGTTTCAAACAACATGAAGGTGAGTAAATGAAAGAATTTTAATTTTTAGACAAACTCTTCCTTTAAATACTACATTTTCTATAGGGATGGTGTCAGCCTGAATACCTCTTTGTGACACATTATTTACATTGGATCTTTTTTTTTTTCCTTTTGAGGTACATTGTCAGAAAATTGTGGCTTGGATTTTGGGAGACCTTTCAGCTCCAGCTGTTAAGCTCTTTAGTAGTTCTAGTCTTTGCCTTTTGCATGAGCACCCCTCCTTTTTCACTCTCTCTCCTTCCTCTCTCACTTTCTCCCTCCCCCATGTACGTGATTGAGATTTGTCTAGACGGGCCCTAGAACACAGGCACTGCAACCATGGGGACTCTTCATTACAAGCTCGTTATGCAAATGCATCTGATTGGATGGCGCTGTTCCATTGGCTGCTGCAGTGAGAGAGCTCCCCCTACACCCCCCCTCCACTCCCAACACTGCACAGTTTGGTTTCCATGGCAACTCAGAACGGCTGCTGGTGGAGCTTGTGCGCTCTGCGGCAGTGCTGGCCTACCCTAGTAATTCACCCACTGAAATGTGTGTTCCTTAGCAGTATGATCATTTTGATTGGTTTTCTCTGCTTCCAGATGTTACTAATAATCATAGTGTCATAATGATCAGTTTTTTTTTTCTTTATTGAAAATGTGGAGTTGATTTTGCATTTATCAATAGTTACGCCATAGTAAAAGCCTGTTTTTAATTAAAGTCTGTGGATGTGGGGTCTTTACCAATTAGGAGGATCTCTGTTTAATACCTCCTACAAGTACTAAAGTCATATTTTGGCAGAGGCAAGATTTCTGTGCTCCTGAACACTTAAATTGTCCACTATAAGTTTATACCGCTATTTTTGATTAGCTTGCACAAAAGTCTCTTTAGGACAAGTCAGTTCACTTGGTGACCATATAGGTAACACCTCCAGGCTTTTTTTTCTATGTAGACGCAAGCATGCACATACAGTATAGCTGCTATGAATAGGGAAATTAGTATAGTATTAGTTACATAACATTATTATTATTGTTAAAAATAATAGTAAACATTATAATTAATAATAATAATAAGTTTTATTTTACAGTACAGTTGTATTACAATAACTGCAAGGAAAACTGAAAGGAAACGTTCCACTGAAAAATCCAGTGAAATGCTGTAATCATCTGTCCACAAAAATGTTAAAGGGGTCATATGATGTTGCTAAAAAGAACATTATTTTGTGTATTTGGTGTAATGAAATGTGTTTACCTGTCCTATAGTTGTAAAGCTGTTATTGGGCGACAGAGACGTGAGACGTGCGGATCCATCTGCATGCTTTTATTTAAGAGACGTGGTCATAACAGGCATGTGTCAAACAATGGTAAACAGGTACAACACAGGCAAGACAAAGAGTAATCCTAGGACAAGCGTGGGTCATCGATCGGCGAACGAATGACTCATGACAATCAACTGTGACTTGACTTGATTCATGAAGATCAAGTGTGACATAACGGGGCACTGTTGTGTCCGCCATTTTACGATCAGGCTCCGCTGTCGCCACCATTTTGTGAGCGTGCTCTAGTGCGGCCATCATTACACAAGCGGACTCTGTGTCATGTTTCTCCGCAACACCAACCGTGAACACGGAGTTGACACACAGCAGAGCAAAATCCAAAAAATAGCTTAGAGAAGAACGGGGACCCTCACGGGTTAATCGTGACTTTAAAGGTTCATTTACTCCATCACAAAAAAAGTCTCAGTACACAATCTGGCAGATCAGAATAACATGCAATATCCAGATACTCTTGAATATAGCCTTCAAGCCAGTGCAATGGATGATGGGATATGTAGTCCGGGATGACATGCAACAGTTTGTGTAGTGCGAGAGTCAATGTAATAGAAGGGTGACCTCTGGTTGTGATTGAACGGAAGTCCATGGACAGGATTCGTGACAGGTGTAATGAAATGTGTTTATGCGGTTTAAGGTTCAAAAAACATTTTGTCCCGGCAGGAGTGACGAGACAAAAATATTAAAACCCATTATAAATAAGGTATTTGTTGCATCTAGTGGGGACATAATTACGGATTATAATGACTTATAGGATCAGAAAACAGTCCTCATCCTCCATAAAATGCGCTGGACACATCGGAATATTTTGGTTGAACTGTTCTGGAACAGTGTTGTAAATACAACTTAACCACTGATTTCTAGTCGTGTCCTCTTTTGGAAGGCCAAACAAAGTAGTTTCGCTTTCACAACGAAACACAGCGTCACACATGGTGGGCTAGAGTGAGCGGCGTGGGCGGGCTTGCGGCAACCACATGTGACGACCCCGGGCTGGACAATGTAAAAATAAAGCATCACTGGCACACATTGTTTTCCCAAATGCATGTTAAACAGCACACATCGTGAGCCGCTTGAGGGTAAATGAACACAGTGCTGCTCTTCACTCTGAAACATGCAACGCATCAGACTTCAGTTGCACTATTTTGTGGTTTGTTAAGCGTACTAACCTATATCGCAATATTGGTTTTAGCTCGATTGGCAGATGCTTTGCTAAAGCAATGGCGCAAAACACAATGTTAAAGATCTTTTATGCTGTCATGAGAAATATATTTAAAAAATGTGGTATTATGAAACATCGGTTTTGGTTATCATTATGATAATAAATATGAAACACTGGCTACTGTGAATGGGAAAATTTGTAAAACTGCTTGTTAAGATAAAGTTTCAATAACATCAAATCATCAAAAAAAATCTGACAATAATGGTATCATAAATTATGCTAAAATCACACTAAAAACTAAAAAAATATTTTTCAGTTGGGTCCAGCTAATGTGTATGTTCAGATTCCACCAAAAAGGAGATTGGCTCTTTACTGAATGGCTGGACTATCATTCCTACAGTCGCCTTATTGAGCGTTAAAATTTCTCCCATTAATTTTTATGAGTGTTCCTCTTCTTTTTCTGTAACGTCTCCGCCTGTACTCACAGGGGCTTCCTAGTGGGCTAGATGACATGTCAGACAGAGAGGATCATGGTCACAGGTCAGGGAGTGAGAGCAGCACCTACAGCACCCTGAAGAAGAAAAAGAAGAAGCCCAAGGAGAAGAAGGAGAGGAAAACTAAACAGCGAAAGAAAGACGATGATGAGGACGACGATGATGACGATGATGGAAACATGAAGGTTCTCACTTAATAGTAGAAATGCTCTATTATGCTCTATTAGCCATGAGAATAAATGAATAACGGTTTCTCATGTGACACCAGGAACCAAAGTCATCCAGTCAGCTGATGCAAGAGTGGGGTCTCGAAGATGTGCAGTATGCCTTCTCAGAGGACGACTATAAAACCATCACCAACTACAAAGCCTTCAGCCAGTTTCTTAGGTAGGATTTCAGTTTTCCTTCTGCATGGACGTTCTAATGCCCTGCTGTCAAGATGTCTTGTTCTATTTTAAAACATTCCTTCTGGCAAATGCTAATACCTGTATGAAGTAATGACATTATGGTGACAGGTTTTCTAATAATAGGCATTGAAACAAGATGTACTGTCTGACCCACACCATGCATGTCTACTGTAACCAGCATAATATTTAATTTGATAGACACTCTTTTAGTATATACTTCCGATTTCTGATTCATCGTGCCTGAGAACATCCAGTACTTGAGGTAAAATCACCACAATGCATGGCCTCTTATAAAATTTGCCACACAAATTTCAACTTCATTGTCTAAGAATAGTTTTTTCTTTGCTATTTTTTTTTGTGGACAGGCCCCTCATTGCCAAAAAGAACCCCAAGATCCCCATGTCAAAAATGATGACGGTGCTCGGAGCGAAATGGAGAGAGTTCAGCGCGAACAACCCTTTCAAAGGCACCTCTGCAACTGCTGTAGCGGCTGCGGTGGCTGCTGCCGTGGAAACTGTCAATGTGGCTCCGCCCATCTGTATTAGAAGTATCCAACAGATCTCACCATCTGGGCCAATCAAAAAAGCCAAAACCAAAGAGGGAAAGGGTAATTTAATGTTCTTTTTGTTGATGTTATATAGGGGTTTATATTTAGGGTCAGATTTCCAAAGCAGTTAGTGGAGGCTTTTACATTGTTTACATATGTAACATGATTAATGATTGGCTGTTGGCAATTCTTTATTTAAATGTGTTTGGTTTTTCACTCACACGATTGCTTTAGTGTAACTTTGAAACTTAAAAGTCAACTGTGTAATTTTATCCTATGAATAGCTTATTTATAGTTGACCCTGGATTTTATATGAAGTACTTTAACATCAAAATATTAAGTGCGCATATGTGTTTACAAAAAAAAAAAACAGATTTGCAAATGTAAAATGTGTTATATGTATGTCTGAAGAATGGAGTATTGTTCTCAGATCTCACAAAAAAAAAAGTTGCTGTTTTGTTTATCTCATCTGGACTGCATTGCAGGGCCTGGCGCTAAGAAAAAAAGTAAGCCAGTGAAAGAAACAAAAAAGAAAGGGAAACCGAAGAAGTCCAAATCGAAAGCAGGCCAGGGTGGAAAAAGGAAAAAAGGCTCTTCGGTGAGAATGCGCTTTCACTGAAATCTTTCTAGGGCTTAACCTGTATCACATGGCAAGATTCCCCTTAGCTATTCAATTGAGAGAGAATTTTTTAGGTTTTCCACTTCCCAGAACAATTCATGGATCATTTGTATAGATATTCTTCCCAAGTGTTCTGGTTCCTCCCAGTTTTATTAGGTTCTTTCTAAAGTTGTTTTCCATGTTATGACCTTTTCATTTTTGATGAAGACTTATTGTGCCTTTTGCATAAACTGTCACATGAAATCATCCAGTTTGAGGAGTATGACCTAATTTTAGTGAATGGTTTAACTGTTTTAATGCCTTATTTCTCAGAGTGAGGAGGATTTCCTGGATGACTTTTCAGACTTTGATGACATCAGCATTCACAGTGCCTCTGTACGCTCAGATACTTCAGCGGCACCCAAGAAGTCGACCCGCCGAGGACGGAAAAAAAGAAAAAGTGAATTTATTATTATTATTGTTGTTGTTAAATACACTGCCTATATATATATATATATAGAGAGAGAGAGAGAGAGAGCTTGCCATTCTATATAAATATAGCTATAACGCCAGTCTTCAGTGTCATATGATCCTTCAGAGATCATTCTAATATACTGATTTACTGCTCAGGAAACAAACAACAACTTTTTTTTGTAACATTATAAATGTCTATACTGACACTTTTGATAAGTTTAATGTGTTCTTGCTAAATACATGTATTAAAAAAAATCGTACAGATGCTGATTCTTTGAACGGTAGTGTAAGTCTTGTTAACAGAATTAAAGTGTTGTTACATTGAAATATTGTTGTTAAAATTGTGAAATATTATGTATTTGAAATTGCACAGTACTTCTGTTCCATAAACTATTTAGGTTTCTCTTTGAACTCTATTGTTAAAGTAGGAGAGGATGGAGACGGCTACGAGACAGACCATCAAGACTACTGTGAGGTTTGTCAGCAGGGAGGAGAGATCATTCTATGTGACACCTGTCCCAGAGCATATCACCTGGTGTGTCTGGATCCAGAACTGGAGAAAGCCCCTGAGGGCAAATGGAGCTGCCCCCACTGTGTGAGGAAATCCCTCCCTGCTTCACAACAAGCATATACATGCAAAGAAATGCATTCTAATACATTCAAGGCCACAGAAGCTGTGCTATTCAGACTGACAGTTTATTGCCTCATCTCTCAGGAAAAAGAAGGTATTCAGTGGGAGGCCAAAGATGATGAAGAGGACGAAGATGAGGTTGCTGGTGAGGAGGAAGATGACCACATGGAGTTCTGCAGAGTGTGTAAGGATGGAGGAGAGCTGCTGTGCTGTGACACCTGCCCTTCCTCCTACCACATCCACTGTCTCAACCCACCGCTTCCTGAAATTCCCAATGGAGAATGGCTGTGTCCACGATGCATGGTGAGAAACGTCTGTATGGATCAGTTCAGTTAAAATCATTCTCAAGAGTCTCTGAAATAGCTGAAAATTAGACTTGGCTTTTGAAAGAAATCCTTAATGCTCATCAAGGCTGCATTATTTAAATAAAAATACAGTAAAATAGTATTGTGGAATATTATTACAATTTAAAAGAACTGTTTTCTATTTTAATATATTATAAAGTGTAATTTATTCCTGGGATGGCGAAGCTGAATTTTCAGCATCATTATTCCAGTCTTCAGTGTCACATGATTCTTCAGAAATCATTCTAATATGCTGTTTTAGTGCTCAAACATTTCTTATGAAATCGGTTGTGCTGCTAAATGTTTTTGTGTAAACCATCATGCATGATGATTTTTATCAGGATTTAGACAATTTTGATCAATTGAATGCATCATTTCTGAATAAAGGTATTAATTTCTCCCTCAAACACACACACACACACATAAAAAAAACATCTTACTGAGCACGATCGTTTTATTTAGGTCTGTTAGTACAGCTTCACAAAAAAAGGACAATTATAGTTGAACTATAGTTGTTCATGACATTTAAAAAATAAAAATTATTATAAGTCTGCCTGAAATCCAACCTTAAAAGCACAAGTAAAAGCATATGTTGTTTTGAACATTTGAGCACTGTTCATCATCTATCATCCATATTTCCCCTAGTGTCCACCACTAAAAGGGAAAGTCCAGAAGATTCTGCACTGGGTGTGGGGCGATCCTCCTCTACCACCTGAGGTTCCTCTTGGGGAAGATGGAGAGAAGGTGGACGGTTTGGCCAAAATGCAGATGAAGGGTCGTCCAGAGAGGCAATTGTTTGTGAAATGGGCTGGGCTGTCCTACTGGCACTGCTCCTGGGTCAGCGAACTACAGGTGGGACTCCCACATTTCCTCAGCAAAGACATTAATTAAATCATGCATGCTTTTTTGGCTTGTTCCTGTATCTCTGATTAAGTTTCGGTTCTTTCCCTTGATGCAGTTGGAGCTATATCACACGGTAATGTACCGTAACTACCAGCGTAAGAACGACATGGATGAACCGCCACCGTATGACTATGGCTCCGGGGAGGAGGAGCTTAACAGTGAGAAGAGGAGGAGCAAAGACCCTCAGTATGCAGCCATGGAGGAACGATTTTACCGTTACGGCATAAAGCCGGAGTGGATGATCATTCATCGGATCCTCAACCACAGGTACATGGGCCACAGTTAGTAGTGCTAATGCTATACTTCAGACAACATGCTTTTCATGCAGTAAATTATTGTATAATTATATGCCTTAAGACTGTGTTGTGTATGTTGAAGTTTTGATAAGGATGGAGATGTACACTACCTGATTAAGTGGAGAGATCTGCCATACGATCAGTGCACCTGGGAGGCTGATGACTTCCACATCCCAGATTATGACAGCTTTAAACAAGCCTACTGGGACCACAGGTAAGCCATGTCATTTAAATTTAATGTGGATTTAAATGAACGCAAACACACATACAGAGCTTTCCATGAAGAGGGTATTAAATAATGTAGCGCCTGAAGCTCTTAATAAATTAATTTTTAAATGGTCAGTAAAAATGTTGATCATTATCCTCAGAAGTTCATGCTAAAGGTTTTATTTTTTATCATTTTTTATTAATTTCATATAAGGCCTGCGATTTCTGCAACCCTGCACTACATTTTTAGCAATAGACAACAAACAAGCATCCAAATTAAATACAGCATTTCTAAAATAAAACTAAAACTTTTCCAGAATGGGTAACAGGGTTTCTAAATTAAGCTGCCTCTCTAGTTATTTGCTAGTTTGGGACTAAATGTTGGTTAATAGTTATTTATAAACCTATTTACCATAAATTAAAAATATTAATGAAAAATAGTAAATACAAATCTTAAATTATTAATATTAAAAACAAATAAAAAATGCATATAACTACAATTAATTAATTTGGACTTGTTTTCCTATCATGCTCTAGAAAGTGTCCAAGTAGTATTTCATAGTATTTTTTAATGTTTCGATTATTAATATGCGTAATATTGTAATAGTAATTTTGTTATTTGTAATTAGATTAGAAAAGAATTACTAAAATTACATTACAAATATATTTTTCTTTTTTTATACAGTGAACTATATATCAGTTTTATGTAATTGTTGAAAGACAATATATGTGACAATTTAAGACTTAACTTTTTCCTAGATTCATGCTAGCATCCTAATAGTTTTCAAAATAGAAAGAAAAAAATAACTGAAAAAATTGATTTGTGACTAAAATGAATAAATGAAGAATATTAAGAAATTTGTCACACAAAGTGTGTGAAAAGTGCCATACACTCACTGACTCTGATTTTACCAGGAATATGGTGCTCGGTGAAAGCCATCACCCCCTGCTGTTCAGAAAGGGAAAGAGACTCAAAGAGGAAGTAAAGAGGAGAGAACCTCCACCAGACACTCCGGTTGTGGATGTGAGTGCGATTACTATTTTACTTCATGAATTTATGCCTGAATTTATCTTGCTTTATGAATTTACACTTTTTCAGTTATTTGCGTAGACTGAATCTCAGTATCATTCTCTCTTATTTATGTGCCATTGGTCATAGCCCACCATCAAGTTTGAACAGCAGCAATGGTACATTGATGACACAGGGGGAACTTTGCACCCATACCAGCTGGAAGGCCTGAACTGGTTGCGATTCTCTTGGGCCCAAGGAACCGACACAATCTTGGCTGATGAAATGGGGCTTGGCAAGACTGTGCAGACTATAGTATTCCTGTACTCACTTTACAAAGAGGTCTGGGCACCAACTGATCTTTTTCAAATGCATTTGAGAGAGGAAGGGAACAGAGTGTAACTGAGTTGCTTGTTTCAGGGTCACTCCAAAGGGCCATTTCTGGTCAGTGCGCCACTCTCCACCATCATCAATTGGGAGAGAGAGTTTGAGATGTGGGCTCCAGATTTCTATGTTGTGACTTATACAGGGGACAAAGAAAGCAGGGCTGTCATACGCGAGAATGAATTTACCTTCGAGGAAGTCAAATTGGGTCGCAAGGTTTTCCGCATGAAGGTAAGAGAGTGCGGTGGACTAGCGTCAACATTTTGATGCATTATACCGTGTCCCATCCAAAAAACAATATTTTGCACCAAACCAAAGCTGATTTACATCATCCTCTCACTGGTACCTGATTACATATTTCAACATCCAAACAATTTAAAAAGGATCCTAGTTTCTGAAAGGTTTCATTTAGAGGTGCCTTGTTTCTGATCAGAGTTTTTCATCACAGAAGGACACACCGATAAAGTTTCATGTTCTGCTGACGTCATATGAACTGATCACCATTGATCAGGCAATACTTGGCTCCGTTACCTGGGCCTGTTTGGTTGTGGATGAAGCCCACCGACTGAAGAATAACCAGTCAAAGGTACAGAATTCAAGGAAAGATTTATGACGCCCCCCGTTTATATCACTGCAGTGCTTTATTGTTAGCACATGTAATGGCAATACATTTTCTGTTTTATAAGAGCTATTTAAAAACTTTTGTCAGGAGTGTATTGTTTCTTATGCTTGCAGCGAATTTGATGCATAATATCGGCCTTATCTTACATTCTCATGTTCAAGGACAAAATGTTCTGTGATATTGAAGTTGTTTACTCTTAGAAACATTGCCTGCTGACTATTAATGATGCCTGCTAAGGCAAGCACCACTTTTACTATTGCTTATACTTGGAGTTAAGGGTTTTTCAAAATTATGGACGTGAATGATACCTCAAATGAAGTGGCTTAAAGAGATGTGCTTTCCTGCATGAATAGACTTCACTTGGTGGATTATGAAACAATTCCATGCTTACACTGGAGGGACCTTAGCCATATCTAGGAACCAGAATATTATAGACACTGGAGTGATTTGAACCCAAAACACTCAAGTAATCATATTCTATTGAGCTAAAAACTACAATACATAGACAATAGCAATAGCTATGCCATGCCAATCACCCACAAAACCCTTGCATTTTGGTGCCGAGCACTGTTCTTATTTTCTGAGCTGTTTTAATGGTTGCTACAGATGTGTCTTGTAACAAAACATTTATTTTTTAAAATATAAATACTTAAATACTTTGATTAAACTGATCAAAGGCAAAAGTTACAAAATATTTCTATTTCAAATAAATGCTGTTCATTTAAACCTTCTATTTATCAAAGAATCCTGAAAAAAATGTTTCCCCTAAAAATAAAGCATCACAACTGTTTTCAACATTGATAAAAAAAAGAAATGTTTTAGGAGCACCAAATGAGAATATTAGAATGATTTCTGAAGGATCATGTGACACTGAAGACTGGAGTAATGATTCTGAAAATCCATCACAGGAATAAATTATATATATAAAAAAATAATTGAAAGAGAAAACTGTAAATTTAAATTGTATTAATATTTCACAGTATTACTGTGTGTCCTGTATTTTTGCTCAAATAAATGCAGCTTTGGTGAGTGTCAGACGCCTTTCAAAATCATTTAAAAATCTTACCAACCCCAAACTTTTGAATGATTTATAATATGGTTTATGGTTTTTTTATTAACATTTGTCAAGTCTTTTGTATGTTTTCATTTTTATATATACAGGAAGCTCCGGTCTTACCCAATGGTTCTTATGATGGCAACCTCCTGGTGAAATCCTCAGGAAAACTCACCCTGCTTCAGAAGATGCTCAAAAAACTGAAAGATGAAGGGCACAGGGTTCTCATCTTCTCTCAGGTATAGTGTGTGGTACTTATTCCCTCTTTTAGAGCTTAGAATACCCTGTGAATAACATTACAAAAAAAACTTAAATACATGGCGGTCTTGCCTTTATTTCAGTGGAAGATTAATTAGATGGTAAACTGTGAATAGAAAATAGGAGCGGAGCTCATTCATCTTTTAAATGGAGTTGACAAATGAAAAGGCGGGGCCTATATTTATCTCCGCATTATTGTTTAGTCCTTAGACTCTTTTCCCTCCCATTTTAAATTGCCTGTGGAATCACTGCATCCATTAATTTGATGAATGGCACAGGTAAAGGGAGGATGTCTCGACGTGCCTTCATTTTGCCACCCTTTTATTTCCTAAGTGCTTGAAAATAAACAAACATATTAATGTTATGGCATGTCGTATGTTTCTTAAGTTCTTTAAGCTTGATTAAAGAGGAGGACCATGTTTCTGTCCCCTCTTGTTGTTGTTTTTTGCATAGATGGAATTAAGCATGAGCTGGCAAGCTGAGTTTGCTTAACATTTTGCTTAACGCTGCCATTTGTCCCTTTGTTGGATACCACTGTTATCTTCCTTTTTATGTCTCATCCTGCACTGTTGATCCCTCTCTCAGATGACAAAGATGCTAGATCTGCTAGAGGACTTCCTGGAGTTTGAAGGATATAAATACGAGCGTATTGATGGGGGCATCACAGGGGGACTGCGACAGGAGGCCATTGATCGCTTTAACGGTGAGGATTCCGGCAGTGAAACAGTTCTGTTTTCTGCTGTCCACACGTGCTGGAGGATTGGGTATCAATCTGGCAACCGCAGACACTGTGATCATATATGACTCTGACTGGAACCCACACAATGATATTCAGGTAATGCAAACAACAGTGCTGGGAAAGCTACTTTAAACTGTGACATATAATTTAAAATGGTTAAAGTACTCTTTTAAAAAGTATTTAGCTGCACTACAAGCAACTACACTAGTTATATATACAGTATATATTTACACTGAACAAAATTATAAATGCAACACTTTTGTTTTTGCCCCCATTTTTCATGAGCTGAACTTAA